GAAGGAAGATAAAACCAATATCATCTACAAAATAGATTGTAACAACTGCGAAAAACACTACATTGGCCAAAGTGGACGTCACCTTCGTCTTCGTATTCACGAACACAAGCTAGCTGTCAAAAGACATGATATCCACTCCCTCATATCACTACATACAGAAAACCACGGACATCAATTCGACTGGGACAACCAGCATTCAAATATTAGACAGAGGAAACAACAAGAACGCTAGAGAATTTTTAGAAGCCTGTCTGGTATTCCAGTGAATCATCAATCAATAGACACATCGAGATAGACAAAATTTATCAACCGATAAGAAAGAAACCTCACACACAAAGGGTCAAAGTTCAAGTCAAGGAAACAATCAGTTATAATACAAGTAGCCTAGAAGGTGTGAAAACACACAAAAACAACCAATCACGTCCAAGGTCACCAGGAGGGATGATTAATAAACTCGTGGAGAAATCTGAAAGCTCACTTCAAATTGAAGTATGCGCTGAAGATGTCGCCTAGTAGGGTGATGAAAGCTTCGCAAATTAAATATCCAGCTCAGAGAACACAACCATATCAAAATAACTTACTGCTCATAATTATAGCAGTGTATTAATATGGTTTCATAATTTGTCTTATATGTTTATATTTCTCTCTCTATGTTCCTCTTCCGTTCGTTTCCACTTTCCATATCTCCGGTATAGGCGTTGCGTCATTTCGATTCCAAGTGCTTGATGTTGATTCGATGAACAAAGATTCAATGATTAACCTCTATGTCTCTCCACCTCACCGTATAACCTTTGAATACTATCACCTAGTCCCACTCTATTTTTTTGTGATTACATGCAAGTGAATGCATTGCAGTGTCTGAGATTTTTTCCCTCCGATGACATATGCTAGTGGTCGCATTATATCATGAGTTGGCAGAAGTTGGAATTCATGGGTTGACCGCTGCATCGCGTCCCAGTGGCTTAATAGTCTACGAGCTCGCTGGCCTTGTAACCAGAAGGTCCTATAGTCGAACTCTGGCGGTCGGTGCGTACTAACGAAGAGTCCCAAACTGGGATGAAACAGTTGGCTGTCCAGTACTCCCCACTGGTTTTTCAATGGTCCTCTAACTGGTGTTAACTCATGAAGAATACCTGAAAACAGTCGATTACCTGCAAAACCAAAAAATGAATATTTTTCTAGATTATTTAACTTAGCACGGTAAATCATTGATTGTAGCTGTTGCTAAATCCCCATGTTCCCATAATCTAATTGACTTTAATCAACAAGTTTGACCTTTGTTATTGACTACATATTCATTGCATAGTATTTGGTGAATTATACATTGCTTTTCTTAATTGAATCAGTGGGGTTCTCATTCCGCGAAAGTTTCTCTCTGAGTTGGTTGGTTGAATGGTTTTGTTTCACAGTGTACTGCTGCTCAGTAAAAACTATGCATTTTCACTCAGGTCAATTTTTGGAGTAACAATTTATATCTGACGCTAAGGAATCGGTATATAAGTCGGGGGTATAGCTCAGTGGTAGAGCATTTGTCTCCGGTTCATACCTGAGTGCCCCTTTCAATTTGTGGCCCAAGTAGCCTAGTGGATAACCCTTTTCCTCAATCGTATAGTGGTGAGTATCTCCACCTGTCACGTGGAAGGCCCGGGTACGAATTCCACTCGAGAGCTGGCTTTGTGCGTCGATGGTACCCTGGTAGAATGCTCACTAACCACGCATGCGGTGCGGGGTTCGATCCCCGGCAGGCGCACTCCTTTACCTCGCTAAGCCGGTAATAAGATTGGTAAAGAGGGAATGTTGGCCATGAGTCCAACAACCCTATTCCGTAAAAATAAACACCACTGCTACTGAAACTCCAAGCCTCTAGCTTGAAGCTCTATGTTTTCAAGAATCTACTGGCTTTTTGTAGTAACTTTTCAGGTTCAGAAACAGTATGCATAATTTTCCTTTACACCAAACTACAAACAATGTCTAGATTCTTCAGATGGTGTGAAACGTTCTTGCTCCTCTAATTATATAGCGAATTTCTCCTGGAGTTCACAGTCACTATTCTACCAAGACAGTGAACTCATAAAAATCGCCTGTAACTCTTAAATACTAGAATAACTCATTAACATTAAAAGAATATCTACTGAAGTGAACTTGTTCCACATCAAGTAGACCGTTTTGTAACTGAGTTCCTTGCCCCAGATTTTTACTTGATAATGATTTTATGAACCATGTTTATTGTCGCTATCCATAACCATCTGCTTTGCTCCATAATGAAGCTCAGGTGGCCAGCTATAATAATTAGAAACAAAAAGAAAAAACTCTGTGAATAAACCAATCAAGAACCTATTGCCCAACAAATATGCCGAAGAAAAAGGAGATGGTTTGAACACATGCTTGGGAAACTGTTGAGTGACCTTACGTAACAGGTGAACTCTCCAGTGGAACCCTGGTGGGAATCGATGAGCTGGACGTTCGACAATGAAATGGAGTAGACAGTGTGAGTAGGAGATAAAAGCTTATGGAAAGTTGTGGGACCTGGTGAAGAGAACTGAGTGAAATGAAGATGTACAGCTGAAGCCGTAAGCTCCACTTGGAACCGAACGGAGTAATAATATATCTAGTTGATCAGGTTGAAGTAGATTTAGTGGTGTTTGAAAGTGAGAACCAGTGTTCGAAAGTCGAGTGCTGTAACCAACATCTACATATACATCTAAAATACTTTGGATATCCAGGTTCACTTTGAAAGCATACTTCCATCAGATAATTCAATAGGTTCCCAATATAAAACCAGAAACAGATGTTCCATCATAAATATTTCGACCTTACATTGATTCCATTCAGTTTGTACTAATAGATGTAACATAAACTTTGGTAATGATGCGAAGTGAGAAGATATATGGGTACATCATTCTTTCTTGGAAAATCTTAGTATATGGAATCGATGGCGACTAATATGAGCTTGATGACTGGCAAATAACCCATGGAGCCCCTATAAACGAACTGGTGCTAAGGTCGAGGTTGGCTAAACTCCGATCTTCCTCTCAATATGCTCTGATTTGAACACACCTTCATAACCTCTATTAATTAAGTCCTATTCACTTCCCTCACATGGTGGCAGTGTTTCTCACAAACGACAGAGGGCGAATTTAAACACCTGGCGCTTGCAGTCAAACTGGTTGACATGTAGACCTACCAAACACAGCTGAAAAACCCTAACTTCAAACCTGTGATGTACATAGGTTCTAGAATGCGATTGGATCGAATGGTGTATGAACCTGTTTTGGTTACTGGCAACCACGGGAACTCAGCTCGACTGCCTTGCAGGTCGGACTTCAAGTCAAGGCTCAGATAGGAGGGTTGGTCCCTTAAGAAAACCACCTGCTTCGATCTGGGCGCCCAGGCAATAAATATCTAAGCCCTTGTACAAACTATGAAACAACAACCTATGAGTTAATGAGTTCAATGATGCACATAAAACTTGGGCCACCAAAAATCTCTTGTACACTTTGTTTTAATCAATTACAATAAAATCTCTAATGGTATTATTCACTCTTGCGAGTATTCAAAATACTCACAAATTGTTGATTCGCAAGTTTCTAGTAAACTTGAGAAAAAGGATAATTGTGGTTGGCAACGTATCACAATACATGAACGCTAAAATGTACTCCTGAACTTTTTACAGTGGGTTTTCAACCAAAATTCAAGTGTTGATTTGTAGAGATTTGATTGGTTACAGGATTTCACCATGAGCTGACATTGGTTAGAGAACCATTGGAAAACCCGGGAGTACTGGACAACTGTTTCGTCCTGGTTTTGGGACTCTTCATCAGTACGCACCCACTGGGGTCGGGCTATGTCGTGAATTGGCAGAAGTTAGAATTCATGGCCTGACCATTGGATCGGCTCCCAGTGGCTTAATGGTATGCGAGCTCGCCTTGTAACCATAAGGTCCTGGGTTCGAACCCCGGTAGGTGCGTACTGCTGAAGAATCCCAAAACTAGGACGAAACAGCTGTTCAGTACTCCCAGGTTTTCCAATGGTTCTCTAACCAATGTCAGCTCATAATGAAATCCTGTATACAACCAAAATGTAGTGCATTTCTCGAAAGAGGCAAAGAAGAAGAAATTTCACAATAAAGGATTGATTGACGGCGCTTCAGATCAGATAGAATTGTGTCACGCGATCTACTATGAAGATCGTGAACGAAGAGAAATAGCATGCAATAAACTTCGTCGACAATTCTGTATATTATATATAAAGCACTGTCCAGAATGTATATATTTCTTGATATTATGGCATTTAAGGTTATTAAAAAGGGGTGGGGGGGGGAATAAGAGATAACAAATGGAGAATGATGATAGAGGAAACTGTGACCAATTACAAATTATTATTATTATATATGAAGTTAAATGGAGGGAGGCGGTGAAGGGGGGCGGTAAAACACAGAAACTCATAAAAATCTGGTTAGAATAACTGGTACTTTCATCCACACATAGCACTGTTATTGTTATAATTATTATTGTTATTATGCCTAAAATATACAAGTCTGTGCTCATGAGACTTACACGTACACATAGATACACACACACACACACACACACACAAGGCACCAGGATAAAATAACACATGATGATAATGAAGAGACATAAATGATGATTAGGGATACAGTGATTAATATACACCTTTGTGTTATTTCTTAAAATCAACAAGTACATCAAGAACAAGGGAAAATAACGCACAAAAGTACCTGAATAGCTTATTTAAAAAAATCCACAACAAAATAGGATGAAATGCAAAAATAACCTCCTCCCCCCCAGAGCCAAAAAGCCATCATTGTTAGTGTGTTTAGTGATGATTATCTGAGAAAAGAGGAATGAGTTAAACTGAATATCATCACCAAAAGTGAACAAAACAATGAAAAATATCCATTCATCACATAAAATGAAGATAACACAAAAAAAAAGAAAAACGATGACAATCTGATTGTGATAATAACGACCCACTTTGTTTTAAATAGATAATAATACATCATCATCTAAGGATTCATCTGTGTTAGATGACAACAGCTGTTGTTTTTGTTCTGTTAAATCATCATAGACTGATCCAAACTTTTTATCATTATTACTGTCGGAATGCTCTGGTGAATCATTCGGTACACGTGTATAAACCGGTTCAGCTAGACGAGTCTGACGTCGATGACAATGAAGAACAATGTAATTCTAGATTTTTTTTAAAATAATAAATAAACAAAAAAGTAAAGATAAACAATTATTTGTTTTAAGTCAAACTGTGCAGAAGAAACGTATATATATAGCTGAAACATTCTTTGCCGCAACACGCTCTTTCCCATTCACCACCTGGAGGCACAAACACGAGAGAACCAGGCAGGCTTTAGGCCTAGAAGTGGGAGTAAATTGATCATATCTTCACCCTTCGACAGATTCTGGAACATTGGCATACTTAACGTCTCGCGTCCAACAATCGTTATATATATGTTTTGACCTGCGAGCGACATTCGATTCTGTCGACCGAGAGGTACTCTGGTTATGTATGACTGTAAAAGGAATGCCGAGAAAATACATTGCACTGATTAAGGCACTCTACTCGAACTCATGCAGTCAGCCAGGTGAGAGCTTAAGGCGAGTTGTCATCTGAACTGGTAAAAACCAGTGGTGTCAGACAGGGATGCCCACTGTCCCCATTTCTGTTCAAATTTATCATAGATGTACTAATAGAATTAACTCTAACTGAAATCAGCAACTCAGGGATTGACTTGTTACCAGAGAATAGTCTCGTTGACTTAAAATATGCAGATGATACAGTCCTCCCACCCGGGTGAAGACACTGGCAAAATGCAACAGAGTCTTCTGAACACCTTCAGCTGCAATCTTAGAATGTTTGGCATGTGATTCGCTCCCACCAAGTGTAAGATGATGCTACAGGACTGGACTACATTAACTACTCTTAGCTTTAAAATAGGAAGTGAAGTGGTGGATAAGCGTGTTGACCACTTCACTTATTCGGGAAGCTGCATCAGCCAGTGCCAGTGGGTTGATCGCTGACGAAATCTCAACACGGACACAGAAGGCTAGTTTCGCATATACCAGTTTACACCGTCTCCGGCTGGCTACCGACCACATGGCGTGTGTGCTGCTCAGTAGTCCGCTCCGTCGTCTTTTATGGCTGTGAGCCAGACCTGGCCATTGAGAGTGGAAGACATGAAAAGCCTGGCTAGCTGCCTTTGATCATAGGTGCCTGTGCTCTATCTCCAGTGTGAAATGGTATAACAGGGTGAGCAATATTGAGGTTAGGCGTTGAGTGCCAGGTAAAGAGGGGAAATCAATAGACGAGGCTGTGAAGTTACACAGATTGAGATGGTTAAGACATGTGTTACGCATGCCTAGACTTCGGGCCTTCGCCTTCCTCGACGGGCAATGTTAGCTGACACAAGATCAGGTTGGAGAAGAACCAGTGGTGGTCAAAATCAAAACATAGCATCAGTCAATGAATTCCACAACAGTTACTTTAAGCCAAGTAGGAAAGTGTAGAGTTCCTGGTTGGGGTCCTCGGGACGGTGAACATCAATGGCTGGAGACAATTGGTGATATGGCTCAAAATCGTTGTCAATAGTGCAGATGCATCCACTCCTTGTGACTTATAATATCCAATAAAACTATATTGTTCTTTAATATTACTATTCTTTTTGCCTCATATCTTTGTTTCCTGCCTCTATTTTGCGTTTCTTTTTAATTTCTTCTCTGGCTTTGTGTGCTGTGTAGCAACTCAAACTGCCGCACATCGGCGCAAAGTTCTATGTTGAAACCAGAGAGACAGACGAATCGACCCGTTGTACAACTATAATGCTGGTGAAGGATAAACTACCAAGTCTGGCCACTTCAATGTGCAATGATAAATTTAACTGTTCATGTGGACAGATATAGTTACATAGGTAGAACGACTTGGGAATCCTATCGTCGCCTTCTTGAGAATTGTTCAACATGGTTAAGTGAAAAAGAGACGTAATGTCAATCAGGAGTCCAATACTCTTACACCTACCTTCTGGATGGATACAGAGCACAACACTGATAAAAAGATTCAGTCTTTACAATTATATACAAGGTGCCAGCTCAATTCTCTAGGTTTGTACGCCCCTTCAATTGTTACGCATAGTTGAAGCAGTTGCCATATAAATATTTTCAACTCAGTATCAGTATTCAGACACAGTTTGTTCAATGCCTAATCCCTCTCCCTCCCATGGCTTTCAATCCAAACCTAGAATGGTCATCTGTCTCGGTAACACCGGATAACTGTAAATGTTATTTTTATTTTTACTGTTAACTTTGGTATTAATATCATATTATGCTATAGTTGTATACTTGAGTTTTAGTTTCACAATTTATTATTATTATTATTATATTGTCTAATCGCTATGTTGTAGTTATGACAATAGTTATTGTCCCCTCTATCCCTACTAGTATACACGTTCTACTTGATTATATTTGATTCTGCTGATCCACATTGTTTCGAATGTCTGTGACTAATATGTAATTACGTAATCGTGAAACCCGATGAGAATTTACCGAAAATACGTATTTGCTTACTTAAATCATGCTCTATAACTTAGATTTTCTCGTTGACTGACTGGACTGAAGTAGTCAGCCTCAATTGACATCGTTCGCTCCAAGTATGGAGGAAACAGAGGTGATGAAGATTCCTGGCCAACACCACCAACAGCAACAACAACAGACAACAATCAGCATAAATGCGAGGAACCTGAAAGAAACAACCTACTTTATCTACCTGGGAAGCATCGTTTCAACTACAGGCGGAACTGACGAGGATATCAAAGCAAGACAAGCTTTCACTACTCTCAAGTCTGCGTAGAGGTCAACAGCACTCAGCATCAAAAACAAGATTCGGATTTCCAACTCCAATGTGAAGTCAGTGCTACTCACTGTGTGGATCAGAGACTTGCACTGCGCGTCATAAAGAGCACATCAAACAGACCTTCATTAACAGCTGCCTTCGCTCAATACTCAATATCAGATGGTCAGAAAAGATCAGCAACAGCGATCTGTGGGAGCGAACCAACCCAGCAGGAACCGATTGTGAAACAAATAGGCACGAAGAAATGGAGATGAACTGGCCAAACTCTGAGGAAACCATCAAGTGACATCACTAGACAAGCCATTGCTCGAGTGGAACCCGAAAGGGAAGCGGCGAGTTGGCCGTCAGTGCAAGGGTGATTTGGAGGAGGTCATGTGAAGAGGCGATGAAAACGTGTGGGCAGACTTGGAGCCAGGTGAAGACTCTAGCAGAGGGCCGAACACAATGGAGACGTGTGGCTGAAGCCCTATGTTCCTCTAGGAATTAAAGGAAACAATAATAATGATATAATGGACGCTTAGACAATATCTGAGGATTAATATGAAGTATTTTGGTGGATGATGATTAAATGTGGAACCCAGGATGTGCATTTCGTTCTATTTGGGACCCATCATCAGTTGGATGTGTCTACCATCCCCAGTGAGTGATGGTGATCCACCCTGAGACTCGAGCTGAGTACCCTCTTTTTCAAAGATCAAAGACCGCTGGGTTCAATCAATTAATGGAACAATCAAAATTGAATAAAAAACAATAAATGATGTCTGTCGCACAGGTGGTCGTCGTCAAGTGGACAACGCTTTGGTTTTTGGAACGAATGGTACTCGGCTCGAGTCTCAGTGAGCAAAAAAAACCATTTACTGGGGAATGCAAGTACATCCAGTTGGTAGTGAGTACTATATAGGGCGAAGTGTGCATCCTGAGTTCCACTGTCAGTCAGCCTCCACCAAATAACTTAAACAATACTCAGTTGACTAAAAGGTGGCGGGATTTCTCATCAAGTTAGTACTTCAAAAATGGAACTGATTTGAATTTAGAATACACAAGGCGGAAGTTTTCATCAATTCTTCCGTGTATTATGAATGCTTTTATAGAGAGAAAAATAAGAACACTGTTGAACAGAAATGTGATGCGCAATTAACTGACTGACTGCTTTCAATGTAGAACTTTGCACAGATGTGCAGTAGTTTGAATTGCCACTCTCCCCCCCCCCCGTTCAAAAGAGAGATAAAAAAACAGAAATATGAGGCAAAAAGAATAGTAATATCGAAGAACAATAGAATTTTATTGGGTATTATAAATCATAAATAGTGAATGCAGCTGTGCCATTGAGAACGATTTTGAGCCATATCATCAATTGTCTCCAACCTCCATTGGTTCTTACCAAGAAGTCTACACCTTCCTATGTGGCTAGCTTAAAATAACTGTTGTGGATTTCACTGACTGATAAAGCTATGTGGAATTTAATCTGACCACCACTGGTTCTTTTCCAACCTGATCCTATGTCAGCTAACATTGCCTGTCGAGGACTGCTGAGCAGTACACACGCCCTCTGATTGATAACCGGATATCACGTCTACTCCAGAGATGGTGTAAGCTAGGAGTCAGTGTAGTCCAGTCCTGTAGCATCATCTTACATTTGACAGGAGCGAATCGCATGCCAAATATTCGAAGATTGCTGTTCAGTGTGTTCAGAAGATTCTGAACAATTGAAGTAGGAATCAATTTCAGTATGGGAAAAACCCTCATTTAAACATTTAGCAGATAAAAAAAGGAGTGAGCGAAGAAATATTAACTTTTCAATTAGATCCTCATATTTGGCTCTACTCTAACACACATACATACATAGTAATGTTTGATATAATACAGAAATTCACTATTTTCAAGTATTGATTTGTAGGGGTTTGATTTGATTGGTTACAGGATTTCGTCATGAGCTGACATCAGTTAGAGAACCATTGGACAACCAGCCAGATGGAGTACTGGACAGCTGTTTCATCCACCTACTTTGGGACTCTTCAGCAATACGCACCCACCACAGGGGTTCGAAACCATGATCTTGTGGTTACAAGCCAAGCTCGTAGACGATTACGCCACTGGGAGCCGATGTCAGCTAATGATGAAGTCGCCCAACCAATCAAACAAAATCCCTAAAAAACCAATACTTGAAAATTAATTTAACTTGTAAGTGCTGAGAATATAAACAATGCAGCTCCAGTATGCAGATTAACATCTTGCAGGGTGTGTAAAGTGACTTTTAAACTTACGAATTAATCTCAATTAGCCTTTCCCAAAGGCAACATATATAGACGTTATTACCACCATTATAAAATTATTTAATGTTATCCTCACTTGTTTAGAATTAATTGCAACAAGATTCTCTATGGGCGTTACCATTTCTTCTAATGATGAAGTGACTCATAAGTGAAAAGCTAAATTTTCAAACAAAAAAATTCGTGTGCTCAGTTTTCTACCTAAGCGCTAAGATTATATTAGACTTTTATTTATGACGCGATCAAGCTCAATCAACCAAAAATTCTCCCAACATGAACACATCAATGATGAAATTTGAGTAAATATTGTTTCAAGTAGAATAAAATTAGGTGGAATACACCTAAAATTAAAGTGAATTTAAGCATATCCCCGATTGTTACGCACGGGGAAGGGGGGTAGGGTGGAATTACTAACTAACTGATTTTGCAAAGAAGTTCAACACTTCAAGTCTCCGTACTCTGTCTGTGTAGCAGACACGGGAAGACAAATGAAGAAAATTAAAGATGATTCAGTGAAGAAAATTTTCTTTACCGACGAAATCATCTTCACAGGCTGTATACAGTCGTATTTACATTTATCAAAACTGTGAAGTATTCTATTATTGAGTAATCGAAGGGCAGGGTAACATATTGGAATGGATATCCTCCACGACTCATCGAAAAAAAACGTGAAGTTAAAGCAAAAGGCTGAAAGAACCCAGATGGTGCCGAAGAAACTGCTTTTTATGAACTTTGAATTTAAAGGTGATACCACTGCTGAGATCCTGAAGAACCACTTATGCAGATCACTGAGAAAAGCCTTCTTTTTTTTCGGCTGAGCTACGGATCAGTTTTTACAGCCAACAAATGATCAATGGATGTGTGAAGGATAAACTACCGCTTTGGAACACTTCAATGTGTGTTTGTAAGTTCACCTGCTCCTGCGGAGCTAGTTATATTGGCCGCAAAAAGCGCACACTTTCCAAACGCATCTCTGATCATTATCCAGCATGGTTAACAAAATGACAATGCAAGGCAGTTACTAGCTGAATTCTTGAGCACATGGTGAACTCAAGCCACGTAGCCCCACCAGAGTCGTCTTTCAAGATTATCTACAAGATGAGGCCGAATGGTACAAAGGGCGTCAGGTTTTGGCATTTGTGTATGGAGGAGGCTTTGGAAATTCGTTAATACAACCCCGAATTCTGTATACAGAAAAAGTTTGTCCAGTCTCTTATGCTACCATGGTCTTAAACTCTTCATTAGTCGTTCCCTGTAAATTTTTTTTATTTTTATTTTTAACGATTACTTTGCTTTTAATTTAATAATCAATTCACCATTACCGCTCTCACATGTTCCTTTTGTACATTTTCTCACCCTCTTCGCACTAGTTAAACTGACACTCAACTACTTTTATTCTCACTCAATAAATATTTTAACCTTATCAAATTTTTAACGCTTTCTTCCTTTGTACTGTTGAGTACTACGTAATTTACAACTTTTATTTTTACTTCTAAAGCCACCTCTGAGTAATTATATCAGTTATGTCACCCCCCCTCTTCGATTACTCAATAATACAATACTATACATTTTTGGTAAATATAAATACGACTGTGTACAGCCTGTGAAGATGATTTTTTCGGTAAGGGAAATTTTCTCCACTGAATCTGTCTTTTATTTTCTTCATGACTCAATGGGTGTTTTTGGAGATTTGAAGACAAATGAGACAAAAACAAGAGATTCAGAAGAATGATAATAAACAGAAATGTTACGGTGAAAGAATAATAACGTGGAAAACTAATAGGGTTTTATTTGGATATATGAGGTTGCAAAGAGTGAATGCATCTGCTGCGCCAGCCATTGGGAACGATTTTGAGCCATATCACCAACCAACTGCCTCCATCCATTGTTTCTTAGAATCCCCAGGACCCCAACCAGGAAGTCTACACCTTCCTATGTGGCTGGCTCAAACTAACTGCTGTGGGTTTCCTTTGGTTTTAATCTGACCACCACTGGTTCTTTTCCAACTTAATCTTATGTCAGCTAACATTGGCCGTCGAGGAAGGCGATGCCTAGGCATACTGAACACTAAATAGGATTTGGGCATGAAAGTCATAGTTTAAGGAAACTACAGTGGGTGAAATTTGATGACACAATCACTAAAGCTGATAAGAAAAGAAACTAGTTATCTGTCGGCAGTCCAGAGGCAGCTTTGAGAAATTTCGGTAAATGGTTCGTCAGCAAAACACTAATTAATCAGTAACATACAGCAAACGGATAATTAGATGGCTGGAGGCAATTGGTAGGAAGCCCTGAACCTAGGTTTTGTACTTGTTGGCACTCACCAGTCACCAAGGCGTATCTGCAATCTTGTAGGAATTCATGTCCCTTCCAAGATTCGAGCTCAAGTCACCCAGTTCCGTAGTCAGAGACGTTACCACTGAGAAGTTATTCGGGCCCGCAATTCACCCCCATCGGACTTCATTAGATACTTTGATTTATCACTGACTAGTGTTATGCATATAGTCCTTCGTTTGCTGCCGACTGAATTCTATCAGTCACGTTTGCAATATGGGATATCAGTTCCTTCAACATTACAGATACGTCTTGGTGACTGGTGAGTGCCAACAAGCATGAAACCTAGGTTCAAAGCTTCCTGCTAATTACCCCCTACCATGAAATAACAAGTGCGTCGGTAGGATGCTCGCTGACTGCGCAGGTGGTCAGGGGTTTGATCCCTAGCCGCCAACCCACTCCTTTACCTCGCTAAGCCAGTAGTAAGACTGGTAAAGAGGGAAGGTTGGGGCATGAGGCCAGTAACCCCATCCTGTAAAAATAATCACTATTGCTACAGAAACTTCAAGCCTCTAGCTTGAATCCCTATGTTCCACTGGGAACGTAAAGGAATAAAAAAAAATCAAATAACAACAATCCTCAGTGCATCGTGATGGTGATTCACCTATCATGGTGGCCACATTACAAATATGACTGATAGAACTCAGTCTGCACCAAACAAAGGACTAAACACCTGACATTAGTTAGTGTCAAGTGAAAGTAAAAACAAATTACATAATGGCTTACAGGAAAGTAGTTTCAAGACAACTGGAGTGTGTCAAGACTAGTGGGTCAGAAAACGAACACCGTAATAATAATAATCATAGGAAACAATGCATAATTGTGTAATGGGTGGAATAAATGTTACCTGGGTAAACTATGATTAATCATGGTTTCTTTTGCATGCACACAAACCGGGTTTGATTCGCTTAATAGTATTAAGTTCAGTAAATCAAAGTAAAGTTGGATTTCTTCGCTTATTAATAGTCGTGAATACTGTTGGAACATCTACTTTGTGCTATGATTCAATTAGATATTGGCCAATGGCATATTTTGACCCACTGGTCTAATGTGTGCGTCGGTGGCACAGTGGTTAGGACTCTCGCCGACCATGCACATGGTCCGGGGTTCGATCCCCTGCCGGCGCACACCCGATATCTATGGTCGGGCTACCGATATCCATGCTGAAAATTCCACACTTGTACTGAAAATACGGTGTGGAATCAAGCTGTAAATCAAAAAAAAATAAATAAATATCTGTCAGTACTTTTAAATTAGTCTATCATAGTGTAAAAGCTTTAGAAACCAATGAGAGAATGCCAAAACGCCTATGTTAGTTGTCTTGAACTTGTGTACACTTAAGAATGCATGACTTATTGGAAACAGAAATTGACGGCAGAACAGTTGAAAATATATTTATGCTGAAGTTCTTGTCTTCTCTCTAATTTATTGTAATATATAATACTAGTGTTATTGTTATTATTATTATTGTCTCCTTAGTTCCTAGAGGAATATAGGGCTTCAGCTGCAAGTCTCCATTGCGTTCGGTTCTACGCCAACGTTTTCACCTGGCTTCACGTCCACCCACATGCTTCCATCTCCTCTTCATATTACCTCCTCTATATTACCCTCGCACTGCCTACCAACTTGCTGCTTCCTACTCAGGTCCCACTCGAGAGAGAGCCTGGCGTGTGATGTCACTCACTTGATGGTTTCCTCAGAGTATGGTCAATCTACCTCCATTTTTTTCCTGCATATTTGTTACATAATTGGTTTCTGGTTGGTTCGTTCCCAGAGATCCATGTTGCTGATCTTTTCTGGCTACCTGATCTTGAGTATCGAGCGAAGACAACTGTTGATGAAGGTATGTAGTTTGTTCGAAGTGCCCTTAGTAACGAAGCGCCAAGTCTCTGATCCGTACAGTCACACTGACTTCACATTGGAGTGTTAGTGAACCCTATCAAATACTGAAAATTGTGTGAAAAATATTCAAAAGTCACTAGCATTCTAATGTAGCTCTTCTTAACACATATATGAAAGGATTATAGCGTATTAGAGTAACGTTGGTAATGAATAGATGATCAGTTTGTTAGCTAAAGTCACTAATTTTGAGTTGAGTTTCATGAAAATTAATTAACCAGTTGATTTCTTCAGCTTGTAAGATATCTTATCTGCATAAAGAATGATAAGAACGTAAGATTACGTTAAGATCATAGAGATAAATCTTTCTGACTGTAACATGAACATCAGTGAAATGATATGTTTCGAAAGCAATCACTATAAGGCAAAGAAACACAACTGCATAAAACCAACTTATAATTCATATAAAAAGAAGCAGAAAGAAGTAAAACATTCACTACTCACCTTGAATCGACTATTTATATTTTCAAATGTATCAATATATGGAATGGATTCATACCACGACAGTCCAGTTAGACATTTCTTTATTAAACAACTTGATAAACAATATCCAATAGTAAGGACTGAAGTACTAAGAAGGGAAAGATTTTTTAAAATACAGTAGAGACTGCAGCTTGCATTACAAATTACTTGAAATTCTAGATAAATAATAAAAAAATATGTCCTATCTATATTCTTGGTCCGATGAAGTAGTCGTATTGCCGGGGCAGTAGGGGATGTGGCGGCAGTAAGGTGTTCTCCTCGGGCGACCAGCATGAGTTCAGGCCGTGGTACACGGTTCTGGGCGCGCCCCATGCTGCGTTTCTCGGAAAGGGGGGTTAGAAAAGGTCGGCCCCAAAAAAGTGCATCCCACTCTCACCCAAAGGCATACCGCGGCCCCGGCGAGTGTACCAACGCGGTCGAAACCAAACTTTGCCCGCTCAAAATGATACGGAAACCGAGGCTGACCGGCAGCTTAACCGGACTTCTACTGATATGACTGTGGCGACGGTATCAGTAGGAGATAACTTGGATCGTCACACCGTTCCTAGCGTAGCTCCGTTGATAGTAGCAGCGGGCGCCAACCAAATTTGTCAAACCTCACAACCTACTGATACATTGGCGACGGTATCAGTGGGGGCTGGACTTAGTCGTCATCGATCCAACCCCATGAACCAAACGAATTCGAAAAATATCATGCCGGATCAGCCGTGGCCCGGATTAACAACGACCGCGCTTTCTGCTGCCGTGTCACAGGGCAGAAGTGATAAGTATACTACTGAGACACACCAGGCCGCGTGTGACCGGCCTCAAGCAGATGTCCCCTGGGCTCTGCGGTCACGCAACACTAACCTTTTTTCTATTTCAGGTACCCGAAGACTAAACTCAGGCGTGAGGCCAGCAACCCCACCCTGTAAACAAAGATGCTACAGAAACTTCAGCGTGAACAATCTCCTTGCGTCAAAAGAAAAAGTCTGTGTGGGGACATGGAATGTCCGCACCATGTACGAGATTGGCAAAGCTGCCCAGATCGCAAGCGAAATGAGGAGATACGGAATACAAGTATTGGGGATCTGCGAAAGCAGATGGAACGGAAACGGACTCACCAAATTGTCAACAGGTGAGTCAGTGATTTACTCCGGTCACCCAGAAGACAACCACACACACACCGAGGGCGTGGCTATCATGATGTCACCAACGGCAACCAAGGCTCTGATACAATGGGAGGCGATCTCACCCAGAATAATGACCGCCAGATTCAACTCCAAAGGAAGAAAAGTGTCAATTATACAGTGCTATGCACCCACAAACAACGCAGACCTCGAAAAGAAAGAAGAATTCTACAGACAACTACAGGCAGCAATAGACAATACTCCAGCTGGTGACATTAAAATACTAATGGGAGACATGAATGCCAAACTTGGACCAGACAACACAGGAAGGGAACTCATCATGGGTAAAGAAGCTCTGGGAGAGATGAATGAAAATGGAGAACTCTTCGCCGACTTCTGCGCCTTCAATGAACTAGTGATTGGTGGCAGCATATACAAACACAAGGATATTCACAAGGCTACATGGGTGTCACCAGATGGGCGAACCAAAAACCAAATTGACTTCATCACAATCTCGAGGAAGTGGCGGCGCAGCCTACTGGACACAAAAGCAAGAAGAGGAGCAGACGTTGGCTCAGACCACTACCTCGTACAAGGAACAATCCAACTCAAATTAAAAGCTTTCAGAGAAACAGGAGCTGCAGATAGACCACAAGCCATGTTCAACACTCAAAAACTAAAGGACCAGGATACAAAGGACATCTTTACTGCAAGCACAAAGGACAAAGCTGAGACACAAATCAACACTGGCGAAGAGGTCAGCGTCGAAAAACACTGGGACAACCTGAAAGCGGTATGGAGCGAAACCTGCATGGAAGTTCTGGGCAGAAAGAAGAGACAGGACAAACCGTGGCTCACTACGGACACTTGGAGGCTAATAGAAGAGAGAAGGATGGTGAAACAAAAGATTATCCAGTGCACCGACGAGCAACAGAAACAGGAGTTGAATGCAAGCTACAATACACTGAACAAAGGAGTAAAGAAGAGTGCCAGAGAAGACAAAAGAAAGTATTATGAAGCCATGGCCAATGAAGCAGAACAAGCAGCAGGCAAAGGAGACCTCGCAACACTCTACCAAACAACTAGGTACCTCTCAGGCAAAAATTCGTCACAAATTAAGCCAGTGAAGGATGACAATGGAAAGTCAATCACCAAAGAAGTGGAGCAAAGGAAACAGTGGGCTGAACACTTCAAAAGACTACTAAACCGACCGCCACCTACAACGCGCCCAACAATACCAACAACGGAAGCAGAATTACCAGTGAACATCAACCCCCCGAGGAGAACAGAAGTCCTGAAGGCAATCAAGATGCTGAAAACTGGAAAAGCAGCAGGACCAGATGGAATCCCAGCAGAGGCATTGAAAGTGGACCCAGAGACAACAGCGGACTTGATGACGCCACTACTGGAGAAGGTGTGGAAAGAAGGCAAAGTACCCGAGGATTGGAAGAAAGGATACTTATTCAAACTACCAAAGAAAGGAGACTTAAGTCAATGCAAGAACTGGCGCGGAATTATGCTCCTGTCCATCCCAAGCAAAATACTAAGCCGCATCATACTGGAGAGAATCAAACATGCCCTGGATGAAAAACTTCGACCGGAACAAGCTGGATTCAGGAGAAACAAGTCATGTATTGATCAAATCGCCACACTACGGATCATCATTGAACAAAGCTTGGAATGGCAGTCACCTCTCTATCTCAACTTCATCGACTTTGAAAAGGCCTTCGACAGCGTCGATCGAGAGGTGATTTGGCAACTACTTCGCTACTACGGGGTGCCGCCGACAATTATACATCTCATCCAACAGTTGTATGACAACGCTGCATGCCAAGTAATCCACAACGGGAAGCTCACGGAATCCTTCGAAGTGAAGACAGGAGTAAGACAGGGTTGCCTACTATCGCCAATGATTTTCCTGATTGCAGTAGATTGGATAATGCGACAGACAGCGGGCAATGAGGAAACAGGCATAAAATGGACTCACACAAAGAACTTGGAGGATCTGGACTTCGCCGATGATATATGTCTGATTTCCCACAAACTGGAAGATATGCAAGTGAAAAGTAACAAGTTGGCAGAAGAAGCATCAAAGATAGGACTCCAGGTGAACATAGAGAAAACGGAGGTGATGAAGATTCCTGGCCAACACCAACAGCCACAGCAACAACAACAGACAGCAATCAGCATAAATGGAAGGAACCTGAAAGAAACTACCTCCTTTACCTACTTGGGAAGCATTGTTTCAACTACAGGCGGAACTGACGAGGATATCAAAGCAAGGATCGGGAAAGCAAGACAAGCTTTCATTACTCTCAAGTCTGTGTGGAGGTCAACAGCATTCAGCGTCAAAAATAAGATCCGGATTTTCAACTCCAATGTGAAGTCAGTACTACTATACGGATCAGAGACTTGGCGTGTCACAAAGAGCACCTCAAACAAGCTACAGACCTTCATTAACAGATGTCTTCGCTCAATACTCAAGATCAGATGGCCGGAAAGGATCAGCAACAAAGATCTCTGGGAGCGAACCAACCAGCAGGAACCGATTGTGAAACAAATAGGCAGGAAGAAATGGAGATGGATTGGCCACACTCTGAGGAAACCAGCAAGTGACATCACTAGACAAGCCATTGCTCGAGTGGAACCCGAAAGGGAAGCGACGAGTTGGTCGTCCAAGGGTGACCTGGAGGAGATCATGTGAAGAAGAATTGAAAGCGTATGGGCAGACTTGGAGCCAGGTGAAAACTCTAGCAGAGAACCGAACGCAATGGAGACGCATGGCTGAAGCCCTATGTTCCTCTAGGAACTAAAGGAAATAATAATAATAATCTATATTCTTAATCTGATTAAATATAAGAAGTACATTTTTAAACAGGTATTACTGACCTCTGCCATTCATAAATGTTACACTTTACAATTCTGAAATATAAGTTACATATTATTAATGATCCCCTGCGCTCCAACTGGAACATAGGGCTTTAACAAGACATCTATATTCTGTCTTGTTCTATGCAGTCCTCTTCACCTGGTCGCACGATTGCACACAGGCTGTCATCTCCTCCTTGATGTCACCCTCGGACACACGCCCAACTAGTCGTTTTCAATGCGGGTTCCACTCGAGGGCCTAGAGCGTGATTTTACACAGCGATTTCCTCAGAGTGTATCCCATCCATCTCCATTTCCTTCAGATTATTTGTTGAACAACAGGTTCCTCATTGGTCTAATCACTGAGTTTCTTGTTGCTAATTCTTTCCGACCGGCTGGCTATCTGGTCTTCATTATGGAGCTCGCGAAGGCAACTGCTGATAAAAGTATTCAGCTAGCTGTTGGAAATACTTCTCGTGACTCGCCAAGTTTCTGACCCATGAAGAAGAAATGACTAAACATTGTTGTTGAATATCCTAATCTTATTCTTTATCTGAAGTGCAGTAGATTTCAACACTAATTTCAGAGTAATGAATGCTTGTCTTGTTTTTCGGTTCCCGCCTTTAACATTTTCATCCATGCAGTCACCTGTAATTGAAACGATGATGCCTATATAAGTGAAGGAAGTGACCTTGTTTAAGATTCTCCCGTTGATAGGGACTAGTGATTGATGTTGGTTGGTTACCTTCATCATCTCTGTGTTCTCTATATTCACTTAGAGTCTTGTCTTAACTGCTTCTTCCGTCAACTTGTTGGTTTTCTCCTGTAAGTCTTCGGGTTTCTGTGAAAGGAAGTTCAGGTCTTTAAGAGTCCTTTTATCGATCCAAAGTATTCCTGACTTCTCAGCCCCCACAGTCTTCCTAGTAATCCACTCTGCCACGATTAGGAATATTATTGGTGATAGTAAGCGACCTTTCCTTACTCATGTGTTCACTTCAAAGACTGAGTTTTCCTCTTTGGATCAATTGACATGTGGAATTATTCTATAGCTTTTGAATGAGGTTGATAAAGACTTGGGGTAATCCGTAGTATTGAAGTAATTTCCATATAACTTCGCGGTCAACGCCATTGAAGGCCTTTTCAAAGTCTACAAATCCCGCTTAGTTTACAAGCTTTCCAACCGGTCCTAAGCCCGGAAAAGTGGGGAGGGCTGGGCGTGGGACTATTGACCCCACTTTGGAAAAACAATCCAGTCGCTACAGTAACTTCAAAACACATATACACCTTCAGTATAGATATCTGCCGGTAGGTTTAGTAAAACCGATAACGTTTATTAAGAGCATCAGTGTTTAGACATTTGGTCTTTTCAAATTAGATTCAGAAATTTTTGAACATCAGCATCTCTGATTTAAACGGAGTAAATTATTTTATAACTTTATGGTATAAATTCTGCCTTAGACTTCATTCCTGCTAAATGCGAATTTTTTAAACAGATTTATTTGTCGATATTGTCATTTTTAAGATTCGTTGCGTTAATCTACTTTGATTGTAGGTTAAAACAGTGCAAATAGATTTTTTAGAAAATAGCACTAGAAAAACTATCACATTATAGACGCAAACGCCACCTATAATTGAACCTCTAATCTAGTAGAGGTCCTCTAAACTGCATGGATATTAAAAGATAACAAGGATTACTAGGTGATCTCGGGGAATGAGCACAAGATGGATATGGCTCATGTACATTATCCTGAGCACTCAGTCTCAGTGCAGTGAATCTTGATTTCAAGCAGCACTACACCGATTTCAGTCTAGAACACTGAATATTGTTGTTAGCCTTCATAAAATGACTACTGCCCATTGAACAGTTGATAAATTTGTAGCGAATCGCAGAGTTGAATTCCAAAACGGATTCGCACTGATGTTAAATTATTTTTATTAACGCGTGTCACCGATGGTAGCTAAAATACAATAATGCTTATCTTTCCTACTGTTTCGCGGATACATTAATACCTTATACCCCTATAAACAACCTGGTACTAAGGTCAAGGGTGGGCAGATTTCGGCTTTCCTTTCACAATCCCCTCATGTGGCCACAAGTTCATAGTCTTTCTCAGGTAAGTTCTATTCACCCTCTTTACGCGGTGGGAGTGTTTCTCGCCATAGTGAATGGACAAATGCGAAAGTTCGGTGCTTGCAACCAGAATAGTGGTTAAATTAGTTTACCTAAGACGGCCGGAAAACCCTGACTTCAAACGTACGGCGTACTTGGGTTCCGGAATCCGAACAGATCGAATGTCAGATGGACCTGTTTTGGACAATAGTGACCATGACAACGCAGCTCCACTGACTCGTGGGTCAGAGTTCAACCCAATGAGTCAGTAGGTATCCCCTTAAGATAACCACCCGCTTCGTTCTAAGTGCTTAGACAGTAATCCAGAGCTCACACAAACTATGACATTTTTGTAACTCATCTCTTGATACCCATAATGTACCAATTTGTAAAATAAAAAGATTAAAACGTACCAAATAATTACAACAATGAGTGTGTACATTACAGACTGTCGGATGCCACAAAGACTAGGATGGAATAGATTAAAAACGTAATATTCTTCCCCCTCATTACTGACACGATGAAAGGCTGGCTAAAACGAATTAATTTTATTACTACAACTTACGAGACTGCCACATCCCAGGACCAACTTCGCCGCATTTACTGAATCGTTAAATAATAACACATATCCATCATCTCTAAATAAGTTCAAATAAGTATACATTACTTTTGTATGAGAGTGAAAAATTTGCAAATGACCCTATTTCTGAAATTTCATCATCACCAACTGATATAACTGTCTGATTTATAAACATTGAAGAGTTTCCAGACGTTTTGAAACCACAAACACTGAAATAATAGTCCAACTTGTCGTCTGATTTGTCAGAAAATCTGAGGTAGTTCTCGAATTTGATGAATATACACTTACAGTATTCCAGAAAGTCCTCGAAGAAACGCGATGCTCTTCGTTATATTACAGTCCTTAACAGCATTAACTTGTGTCCCATTGTCGTCACTAGCATAAATGAGGCAAATACACAAACAAGAAAAATATAGAAGTAGAAATGATCCACTCGTCATAACAATCAGTAACCGATTATTAAAAACAACAGTACCACACTACTCAACTAGCCGCTTAAACATTCAAGGTATCCAATATCGTTTTTACGAGCTAGTATAAACCAATTTGATTTCTTTGTGCTCGCCTCTTGATTGTGAGGTAGAAGTTCCTGATCTTCGGTAAACGTCTGCGTAGCTCGTCCCGCCACTCGACTGTCGTAGCTTTGGTTGATGCAGGGATTAATTGTATGTGGTTTGTAGAATGAGGTGTGTTAAGACTGTTACTACTGTGAATGGAGTTGATCCTTTCACCAGTTGGTCCTTCAGTATCGTCGTCAATAGAAAAGAGATAATAATAACAGTTGTAATTAGTGAAGGTATTCAGACTATCAGACAGAAAAAGAATAAGAAAACGTAACAACAGTCAGTCAACCGGTATATATATATACCGGTAATAATAATAATAATAATAATAGGCGTAGTTAAAGCTGTCAGGAGAGTAGGACCGAAGAGAATGTAAAGAAGTAAAACGACCAGTCTAATTGTCTACCTTTGAATGGTGTATGCAATTTTAAGGGGATAGGCTATTTGGATGCAGTCCTTGTGTCGCTGCATGGTTGTCCAGCCTTCGCTTAAAAGCGTCCACAGATGGTGCCATAGCTACATCTGCCGGTAAGGAATTCCAGGGACGGCAAACCCGCAGGGAAAAGAAGTGGGAGCGCTCCCGGGTCCTTGCCCTCTGATGAGCTATCCTTCTGGGATTTCCACGAGGGAGCCTATACCTACTCAATGGCAGAACACCTCTGTTTGGGTGATTCTGATCATTTGTTATTTTGTAGGCAGTAATTAAATCCCCCCTAAGACGACGGTAACTAAGTGTGAATAGGCCTAATTTCTTCAGCCTTTCATCATATGGTTTATTTCGGAGACCAACCACTCCTTTTGTTGCCCGTCGGTGGACTCTTTCCAAGAGGTTGGCGTCTCTTCTATGCAATGGAGTTGCAATAATATTATGCACTTCAAGGTGCGGTCTGACGTATGTTTTATAAAACCTTGGAAAGAGCTCAGGAGTGAGTGCACCTAATTGTCTATGTGTAAAGTGTATGACCGCATATGTCCTCGCTACATCCCCCGTGTAATTTACGCTTGTGCCCATTTTCTCCGTTAGAACTAGACCTAAGTAGCGTTCCGACGTTGAGCAGGACAAGCTTTCATTCCACAGGGTGTAACTTGCATTCTGCAGTCTACAGGTGCGTAACTTCACTACTTTGCACTTTTTCAGGTTGAAAGTCATACCACTGGCCACTGCCCAATCTTCCAGAAGCCTTAGATCTGCCTGCAGTCTATCTGAGTCCTCCGGACACTTTATCGCCCCCCATATCTTCAAATCATCAGCGTATAGAAGAGTCGGGCAGCTTAGACGGCATTATAGATCACTGATAAAAATCAAGAACATCAGTGGTCCCAGGAACCTTGCGACACTGCTGATGATGAGCTGTGCCAAGATGATCGGACTCGATTGACCTTGGTGCAAAATTGCCTTTCAGTTAGATAGTACAGAATAAATTATAAATAAGATGGTAACTGTTCGTATTTGGATTTACTTCTAAAACTCAATATATATTCGCCCCAACACATTTCTAAGTGCTGCATTTCCAACCTACAATTCGGACTGTTTATGAAAGTCACGTCAAACTTTCTCCAATAACTCTATGAGCTAAAATACGCTAACCATGCCACATAAGTATTGACAAAATATTAATATACTTCGTGGAATGTGTGGTAAATATAAGTCAGGACTTCCGTCATGTATACCTACATACACACGCTTTACTAATCCATATAAGCCTTGCTCTTCTGATCATTTGTCATCTGCTTTGTCCTTATTCCATCCAATTTCTAATAGAAGCCCACAAGCCACAACTGGACTAGAATTAGAAATCATTTAAAATTCTCAGGTAAGGAACATTGGTACATTCTTCAAACAACTTACTTCATTTCATTCAGGCTGAGCGAAAGTTTCCGGCCTGCCCTTTGAGAACGCTGCTGAAAACCTCTCACTTGGCATGCGAGGACTGTTTCAGAGCAAATATTGAGGGCTATGGCGTTGCCTCATGAGATATGGAGGCTCTTTTGCAGTAAATTAATCTCATTAAAGGGGAACAATGACCATTGCACTGACACAGATGGTGTTGTTAGCTAAATTTCACAGTCCAACAGTAGTGTTTGCGTGAATTTACTAGAAATCTCCAATCACGGTGCTTCCAAGCTTAGTGAAAGGGATGAATGCAAAAGGGGTCAAGCATCTACAATAGTAGTTCCCGCATAGTCAGCACAATCTGTCACGACTGTGGTTCTTACTCTCCTTCACGACTCAGAGGGATAACAAACAAGCAAAGGCCAAGTGGAAAAGTAAATGCTACTGAACAGAGAAATGTTGCCTTTCACAATAAGTAAAGCAAAACGATTCCAGGAAGGAAGGAGAATAGGGATGTCCCAAAGCTAGAAGACCAGTTGTGACAAACGGCTTCTTATTGGCCGCTGCATCATTCCCGACTAGTTGGAAGAATTTAGATAATCAGAACTGAACTGTAAGTTGGAAAATGACCTTCTTCAAGTCAAGTCTCTGTCATAGACAAGCTGTTTCCTATGAGTACGGTGGTTATTACTTCTCGCGGTCTTCATGGAATCAGTCAAAATGAGAAATGTGTAACGAATCAGTCGATATACTTCTTTCTAAGTCACACCTAACTGGAAAACTGATGGAGACGCGGTTCCCACCAATGCTCACGTCTTTTTGTCTAGCTGGTCCTATCAAGAGATGGTGTGTCAAATAGGAACCAAATAAAAAACACCACAACAGCCAAAAAATCTTCACTACTAACAGTTTTCGACTAGTCGGTCGGAGACTTAGTGATCCCTAAAAATCTAAAGATGGAGCTTGGAAATACCAGACCGAACTAATAGTATTATGCTCACATAGCCGGCCCATCGAGCACGATCTTCAAGTTATCTCTCCTAAATGGAGTGTTTTCGCGTCACTGGAAAGACGCCATAGTCACCCTCATCTAAAAAGGAGGATCACGACAAAACCTTTCAAATTACAGGCGTATTGGTCTCACCAGCACTTTAAACAAGACAATGAAAAGAATCGCCAAGAAAAGTATCATGACATATCTTGAAAAACACTATTTGTTTTCCAGAGCGCACCATGGCTTCCGAGGCAATCTCTCATGCCTGTCGAATCTCCTCACTTCAAGATAAGGCTGGGTCTGATCAAGAGACAACAGAAGACCAGTTGATGTCGTCTTGATAGACTTCAGCAAGGCCTTCGATAGAGTCCCTCACAAAAGACTACTCGTGAAGTTGGGAAGTCTTGGTATCAAAGGCAGCTTACTAAATTGTATTGGGAAATTCTTCATAGAAAGGAGACAGAGGATCAGGATCAACTCGAAACTCTCCTCCTGGACAGTAGCGAGTGGTGGAGTGCCACAAGGCACGTGCTCAAACCTCCCCTATTTATTTTGCATATCAATGAGTCATCTTAGCTCACCGATTCCCCTGTGGTCCTACACGCAGATGACTTAAAAATCTAGAGAGAGCTGAAGAGCAACAGTGGTACGCTCATTTTGCAAGAGGACCTCAATGAACTTTCATAGTGGTCCAGAGAATGGATTCCCTCCATCAATGTAGATAAATGTGCGACCATGCGCATCGGACACGTAAGCATCACCTCCTACGACGCAATCAGGATTTGGGTGTCATAGTAAGTCACGATTTAAAATCCACAGCACACTGCCGCGCAGTGGCTGCACTTAGTTTCAGATCGTTACGGGTAATTCGCAGAGCCTTTACTAGAATCACCAGAGATATGTTCAACTCCTTATATATATATATCTGGTGAGGTCAAGACTGGGAAGCTGCACCCAGACAGCCAGTTCTTGCCTTAAAGGGACTCACATATTCTAGAAAGAGTCCAAAGGAAGGCAACACGTATGATTCTCGGCATGACTAATTTATCATACTAGGAAAGACTAGACACTTTAAATCTCTCCTCCCTGTCATACCGTAGGCAGAGAGAAGATTTAATCACGATGTTTAAAATCTTAAATAATGACTACAGACCTGACTTATTCTCTATTTTCTTTCCCACCAGGTCGGAACACCTTACAGGACATAGCAGGAAGGTTGAAAAGCCGAAAAGAAATCATACTGCTACTGAGTACTGGTTCTTACACCGAGTCATAAACTCTTGGATCAGACTCCCAGAGGAAGTGGTGTCTGCAACTCAACTGATTCATTCAAGAAGTGTTTGCGCAAGCACAGAAATTTACTAGGAAACGGTCAACATAGGCTCCAGGACTTCTATCCTAAACCAATAAATCCGAAATCTAGTAAAGTGACCATCTTCATTGTTTAATACCGTTTGCCTAAACCTGGAACACTTTATGCAGCCCTTCCCAAGTCTGCCCCTATGTTTCTAAGGAGCACCTTACCTTACTTATCAGCCAGTAAATGTTATCTTAACTATATATGTGCCTAAGCACCATATTCTTCTCTTAACACAGTGATTGTAAGTTAAATCTAAGAGACGTGCTGTCAATGGACATGAATATTGAACGTTTGTTTATTGGAACTGGCAGTCATTGGTCGGTAACTCGATGGCGCGAATGGT